ACTGATTCCCAGATGCTGGTCTTCTGAAACCTAAGGTTGAGAGACCATCATAAGCACACCTCAAGAGTATTTCCTGTATGTGTAGTGAGTCTTCCATCAGATTGTCTCTTACTTTTAATTATTTGAACAAGAATTTAGCCTGTGTAGTTTTAGCACTTTTAAAAGGAATAACTATTTATAGTACTAACTCTGGTGTGGGGGGAAGTTTTATCATGCCACTTGCCATGATACTGTTCTGGGAGAAAGGGTAAGAAAAGGTTGCTCTTCAACCTCTAAGAGCTCCACAAGGTGGTAACAAGTAACTTTGTGCCTTGTGCAGGACCTACAGGCTGTAACACTTTGATGTGGGAAGTCTTATTCAAGCACAGATACATAAAGTTTTTGCTTTCGGTGGGTACTAAAGCATGGAGAACTGAAGGGTTTTGAAATGGTCTGTTTGTAGTTTGGGTTTTGTTGTTTAATGGCAAACTGTTTAACTTAAACATTTATAGAGAAGTAGAAACTCATTTAGTGGCTAAAAATCCAACAGGAATGTCTAGAGCCTGAGCTACATTTTACTGTGTAACCTTTTGTCTTAGTCTGTGACCCTGGAATAAAGATTTTTAAAAAGTGAAGAAGTTGTTTTTAATACATCCCATTATTTATTAGAAATAAAATCGCATATAACATACATAGGCACCTTCTTACACCACCATCTGTGTTCACACTTAGAACATGCAGGATCAGCTTTCCAAAGTAAGTCCCGTGGCTGGTACTACACTGCCTTCCCCTCCCATGGCCAGGCTGCACTCCAGGCTCTGGGCAGGCTCACCCTCAGCCCTTTCCACTGGCTCTGGAGTGGCTGCAGGTGAATCACAGCTCTGAGAAGGTAACCACGTCCTGTCAGATCCCCCTCGTTAGACAGGCTTCCTTTTAGGTGGGCAGTGGCAAAGCGTCCTCAGTGCAGCCCAAGGAAGCTACAGCAGAAAGCTAAAGGAAGCTAGAGCAGAAAAAATATGTACTGCCTTAGTTAAAAAAAATGACCAAGTTAGAACAAGGCACTGGCATCAGCCCCATTTTTGAAGCCTCTCTGGGATTTTTGTTAAGCATGACAGATTTCAGCAGCTTTCTCCGTGGAGGTTGCTGGGCATTGCTCACCAAAGATTCTAGAAATGCAACTCCCAGGTATTCATTCATCCACCTTCAGACACTTGCTCGCCCCAGCCTTTGCTTCCCAGCAGTTCAGTTTTAACACTTATTTAAAAAAAACCCACAAAACACTCCCAAAAATAAAAACCCAAACAGAAACCAAGCAGTGTTTGCTGTCAGCCTCTGTCCCAGAGCTGTGAACAGCACCAGTGCCTGTTTGCTGAAGCTGTGGAGGCTTCACAATGCAATCCCAGCTGCAAACCTGAGGAGCACGGGACAGGTAATGCTGACTGGCCTTGAGGAAAAGGAGCAAACGCACAGCATGACGAGACTGAAAACAATATTGAGATATCATTTCTCAATAAGTGTAGTGCCCTTAACAGCACAGTGAGATAAACATACCCTTAATATGTTACAAAATTATTTTTAAAAGCCAGTAGGAGCACGAATACAGGTCAGCACCTCAGCTCACAAAGACACATTCCTGCCTTCCACAGGCTCTCCGGAAACGCTGCAGGTTACACCAGGCAGAAGCATTTCTCCAGGCTAGCCCTAGCAATAAAGGATTATTCTTAATCACTTAGAGCAACTCTTTCCACTGCAATCAAAACGTCCTTTCCACAACAGAAGGGCAGAGCAACAGAAGTGCTCCCTGTGTTCCCAAAGGCTGGGCTGGGTGTCCAACCACCCCCATCAGCACCCAACCCACCCTGCTTGTCAAAGGAAAACACTTCCAAATTAACAAATTCACTGCAACAAAATGTTTCAAAATATCACTTCCCATTGAAATGAAACCCCAATGAAACATACAAGAAGAGCTTTTATCCAGCTTCTTCTAAAAAGGTAAATCACCAAGAAAGCCAAGATGACATTAAGAAAGGTTTTTCAGGGTGGATATTTCTGCCAACTTGGCTGGTGACAGCACTGAAAAATAAATACTGTTTAGACATCCATTTCAAATTGGAAAGAAGAAAAAACCAACGCTTGCTATGATAGTTAAGTGCAGGACTGGGTATGCATTATATTAACAATGTAAAGTAGATGCCAAGAAAATTTAAAAAGCAGCCATGCCTGTTTTTTCTAGACATATTAAAAACACCCCCATTCATTATTTATTTGGCCTGCATTGGTGATCAAAAGAAATAATTTCATACAAGTCAGAACCATCTCACTTAAAACAGTACTTTTATGCTGTGATTGCTTGGTAGCTTTATTGCAGAAGAAAAAGAAACCACCCAGATCCATTTTCACCCTTAAATCACAATATATGGAAATGAGTGTAATTTACCCCTTAAAGTCAGGTTATCCAGATCAGCATGTTTGGCAAATCACTGCTCAAATCAAGCTCTGTTGAGGAGTTCTGGATGTGTAGACCAGGACGTGGAGCATCAGCTCAGAAACACTGCAGAGCCTGGACAGAAGAGTGAGAGGTCTCCCACCCATTTTCAAAAACTACTTCTAAAGCTTTCAGGGCTGTAGCTCATTTTTGTGAGGGAGAGAGGGATGAAAAACTTTTCTCAGAATCTCAATATGTTGTCTTGCTTTGTCTCTTTTTCATGCTGACCTAGATTTTTCTAAACACAACAGGAGTCAGCTGAGCCAGATTTTGGAAATACCAAGTGTTGGTTAATTAGGGACATTTAATTTGCTCTGGGGCCTGGCAGCTGGTCCCCTGCAGAGCAGGAGAGCCCTGGTGAAGCTGGGGGAATGGGCTCCTTGCTCACTGCCATGGAGTCTGCAGTGAATTTGACCACTATAGGCAAGTCCCACAGTCTGATGGTTGTGGGCATTCTGGTACGGTCTCTTTATGCAAGAGCTACATGAACAGCTCAAGAAATTTCCATAGCTTGTTGCAAGCAAAATAAACAAAATCCCTCAGTATTTCCTTTACTCCTGCTTCTCAGAAGAGCAGTAATAATATGGCATAATCCACTTACTGTACTGGATCTCACACAGCCCCTGCAACTCCAAACATACCTACAGCACATGCATGAGGGGAAGTAGGAGGGGAAAGGAGGAAAGAGAGATGTAAGGAACATTATTGTATCATTTATCAGCGTTCTTTGAGACCATTTTCACAAAGGAAAACCACTCAGGTGACCCTTGTGGAAATACATAAGGTGACCAGTCTACTAAGTGTAGCAATTACACAATTTAAAATGTCTTTCTAAAGACACTCTAGGCCCCTAATCAAAAGGAAAACCACATCCTTCTCCAAAATTTCGGAAGTGTGAAGGATAGGGATTTTCACAGTTGCAATCTGCCCATGCACAACCCCACACCAGGCAAGCAAACCAGAAGTAAATCATAGTGCCTGCACTTAGAGGAGCTTCAGACATCAGCAGCACAGGACAAGCCCCTGTATCCTTTGTGTGGATGCACTCAGATGTGACTGATCTGGCTCTGTCCTTCAGGACTCTTGGTTTCTTTAGACTGACAGGCTGTATGGGCTTAGCTGTATGGGATGTTGATCATTATTGACATACTTCACAACAGTCATATTTGATTAGAATATCTTCCAAATACTGCCACCAGTTATTGCTGCAGCTTTAAAAAAAATAAATAAGTGCTTTTGAACACCAGGAAATTCATCAGCTCAGGAGAGCACAATGTACTGAAGGATTCCTCCTCCTCTGAGATGTAGCAAATGTTTGGGAGCACATGAAAGCAAAGATTTGTAATAGAAGACAACTCTAAAAACTTCAACACCCTCTACATGGCAGATTGCTTAAACAAACTGCAGAGAAAGTGGCAGGAGGACCAAAGCCATCCAATAAATGACTGGCAGGAATTACAGCCCAACCCCAGAGTGTTGCAGTTTACTTTTTCATTCAGTAAACCACATGCCTATGTTTGGGTTTAGCAAAAGTTAAACAACAACATGTCAAATGCACTTACTGTGTTGTAGGATGGGGAGTTTGTGAATCTCCCAAAAGCTGTAGGCCAGAAAGCAAGGTGCTGCATGTGAGGACATGCCACCTGCATGGGAAGATAAACTGCTCCTGATGCTGCAAAAACATGTACTGCCAGAGATTTAGATGTTAATCCCCAGCTAACAGGACCTGGTTGAAAAAATTAAGGAATTAGTGTGGGAAGAGATTTTGTTTCAATTTAAGATGCACCTTGTTTGCAACAGTCCTGGGAAGAAGCTGTGCTGTGCCCCCGACAAGCAGCATGTGCCTAGGACAGCTCCCAAAGCGGCCTGGCTCCAGTGCACCCACCTGCGTCACGGCATCTTGTGCCTCTGGAGACAGGACTGTGCATTTCACCCTGCAAGTGAAGGACAGAACCCCCAAAGTCGGTGATGACTGCAGTGAGAATCCCAGAGAGCTGACTCAGCTGGTCCCAGGGACTTCACTGACCCACCTGAGCCCAGCCCAGGACACGCTGCACCCACCCCCTGCCCGCTGGCCAGGAGCACAGCCAGGCCCAGGGCAAGGAACAGCACCTCCGTCTGTGCCACTGAGCAGGGCCCAGGCTGGAATGAACAGTGCCAGGCTGGAATGAACAGAGTCCAGGCTGGAATGAACAGAGTCCAGGCTGCACTGAGCAGGGCCCAGGCTGGAATGAACAGTGCCAGGCTGGAATGAACAGAGTCCAGGCTGCACTGAGCAGGGTCCAGGCTGCACGGAGCAGGGTCCAGGCTGACTCCCACCATGCTGGGGAGCAGCCAGGAGTGTTCCCTGCAACCACACAGGGCCAGAGCAGCCATCCTGCCCCGCTGCTTTCTCCTCCCTGGCAGCTCCCCCCTCACATGAATGATGTGGATTTTGAGCCAATGTCAATGACAGATAAAAGAAAAATATTAACTCTGATTTTTTAAAGTGAGGCTGCTGTCACTATCACACGAGAGAATGATGAATCTTTCATTGTTGAGGTGGCATAGCAGAATTTTAATTATTTTTCAAATAAATACATGCTTAGATTTATGTTTTGCTGATTTAACCATTAGTGAAATTTTAAAATAATCATTAAAGTTTTTTTCAAGGTACATAAGAACACTCTATATAAAAATACTTCTTTAAATAAAGCATTCAAAACCACATTATTAGATCTTTGAAATGCCATAGATCTTATTATATTTCATAATTAAAAAAGGAAAAGGTTAGCAGCACAGGTATTTAATTATTCTTTCCAAGCATACATTCATTTAAATGTCTCATTTTGAGGGTTTTTTCCCCTTGGAAGATCTTAATTTTTTCTTTTAAGCCAGTGAGACTTCAATAAAGGCAATATAGAATGTAAAACACCTCTGGTATTATTATATTGACATAGAAAGTGTTCATTACTGCAGAGTGATTTACACTTTAAAACTATGTTTATAATTAATAAAAATAAAACCAAACTGCAAATATCATGTTTGACATTTTAAGCACCTTCTGGACATCATCTTCCTTCCCCCCAACCCAAACACATTTCCAAAATCGTATAGTGATTTCAAGTGCATTGATTTTTGGTTGCTCAATCTGCTGCATCTTCTTGCCCCAGATTTGTGAAGACTTGCTAAATGCACTTCCCACTGATTAGGAAAGAAGCTGTTAATGCACTGAGCTTCTAAAACAACAAAGGCCAGGATAATACAAAATTTTAAACCAAATACCCATACAGCAGGACCTGTTCACCACTACTGAGAGCTTTGGTTATAAAACTCCATTTTCTTCTCATATAGGTACCTGAGACATTCTCAAAATTTCCTGAGACTTTTGCCAAAACACATGAGAGGGTAGTTAGACCCTTACCAATAGCTGGTTTTCATCCCCAAATCTGCTCTTTGATGATGTGGTTCATTTCTCATTCCAATGGAAGTAGCAAGTATGTAATAGGGACTCTGTCATCTATTTCCATGCAGATTTTTAAACTCTCCTGACAGTGGAGAAAAGAGTTGTGTCTGAAAAGACACAGCTGTGATTTACAGGACCAAAGCCTATACCCATCATTCTGGATGGCAAGAAGGGAACAAAACTAACCATTGGGGCATCAATAACTTTTAGTTCCATGTGCAAACCAATACGGTCCTTCCAGAAACAGACCAAACCTGTAAACTTCTATTTTTTGTCCACCATTTGTAAGACTCTGTACTCCTGCTCCCTTGTGAACTACAACAAGAAGGAGCAAACAGATTATTTCTTAGAAAAATTCAACTACAGACAGCCACAATGCTGCCCTTCTCATCCCATCTTGCCTGTATAAGCTACACAGAGAGATGGATCATGGAACCACAGAATGGTTTGGGTTGGAAGATACCTCAAAGACCATTTAGTTCCAACCTCCCTGTCATGGAGTTCTGTTCACTAGACCATATGCTCAAAGCCCCAGCCAACATGGCCTTGAATCCTTCCAGGGATGGGACATCCATCATTTTTTTGGGCAACCCATGCCAGAGCCTCACATTTCCTCCTAATACCTAATGTAAATCTGTCCCCTTTCACTTTAAAGCCTTTGCCCCTTGTCCCGTGCAGCTTTCCTGTGTGCCCTCTTTAGGTACTGGAAGGTGCTGTAAGGTCTTCCAGAGCTAAAGTTAAATTCTGCCCCAATGAAAAGGCACAACTCTGTGGTGTGCACATTTGGAAGAGGGTCTGAACTTCTCTTATATTTCTTGCCATCCCACTCTGTTATATTATTGGTTGGTCTCTGCCTGCAGTGATAAAAATGGTATTTAGGTCAATGTGTTCTTTGTTAATTGCATTAGCCATGTGCCTAAGACTTCGGCTTCCTCTTCTCCCAGCACTGCCTTTGGCTATTAACACGTGGTCTTTAAATATATGTCACTATTAACAGTGTACTCAATCTGTCAGGTGAGATGGATAGAGCCTGTTTTAGACAGACTAAGATAATCAGTGGAATGCTATTTACAAAATTCACATGAGTAGTGAGACCCCTTTTTACATAGAAACACAAGCCAGTTGCAACTTTTTATACCGAGTCTCCAAAAGCAGAGGGAAGAAATATATTTGTGTTCCATTTATGGGTTCTAATCATACTCAATACTTTTTTTCAATTTCTGCAAAATATTTTTGAATTTGATTTTGCAAATAGGATCATTTTCCCTTGGGAAAAAAAAAAATTATATTGGCTTTTATCTTCCAAGGGGTTTTCTGTCTGTGTTTAAATCACCTTCTATTAGCATAATTTTTCCTCACGTGGTAGCAAAGATCAGAACATAGTCATGTTCAACCCCACACACCTTCTGAAGCAGATTTAGCAAACAGAAAACTGCTTCCGGCTTGGAAACAGAAAATTTCTCTACTTGTAATGTGGCTAGGTCCAGCAGAAGGAGCTGCATTACTTCAACAATGGGCATCAAAATCAGAAGACCTTTGAGAGGTCTACATTCAGATGTAAAGAGAAATGCCTTCTCCCTGTTTATGGAATATCACTGGGTTCTACAAACTAGCTAAAATCCAGGCAGCCAGCTGATAATGAATTGAGGAATTCCAACACCAGCAGAGACTAAGAGCTTCCCTTAGCTAAACTAACGTTCTGAGTTGAGCTTTTTTTTTCCCCCAAAGATATTTACTACATTTTGAGCAGGAAATCAATATCCTGAAACTATTTGCTAACTGTTCAGCTTTGAAAGATAATATTTGCTGTGAAAGCCTCAAGGCTGGGGCTCTGCAGAGTCCTTGTCAGAGGCCCTCGTGCCCCACCCCGTGCCCATCACCGCTCAGTCCAGGCAACTGTGGGGTAGCGTTCCAAGAGCGCATTCCTCAGCTGGGCTGTGTGGATCTTGTCTCTGGTCTCCACAGTGCAGATCACCTGGAAAAAGAATTAGGACCATTCCTGATGGCATGGCAGCAATCTCAGACAAAGGCATTTCCAACTTAAACCTAAAATACACTCATAAAAACAATCAGTTCAAAATAAAAACTCTGGCTGTCACATCCGCTGTCTATGCAGGTAAGAGAACTGACATTGCAGACATCTGGGGCTCTTCCAGCCCATCTGCATGACCATAAAACTTTCCAAAACCCTACTTTATTGCCTTCAAAGTTTAAAGAAGACAGGCTGATCCTCTGCTGGCTCTTCGGCAAGGTACCTCTCTGCTCTTGGCCTCCCTGAAGACATCTGTTAGCAGCTCCTCTTTTCCTTTCCCTGTGCGTGGCATTGCTCACCCACCTCTGACTCTTACCTCATCACATTTCTGTATTTCTGGCAGGGTTTGTTCCAGTACCTCCATCCTTCAAGCTTTTTGTGTTCTCCTTCTCTTGTCTGTTATGGAGTTATCCCCCAGCTCTTTATCATCTCTGCAGTATTTTGCCTGGTTTCATTTCTCACACACCTTCTTGCTTAATTTTGTTTTTTTGCTTGTTTATTGCATCACATCTAGTTTTCTTTTATGGTTGTTCTGCTGCTAAATAAAACAACTTGGGCAAACACAATCTTGATCGTTTTTTTTTAATTCTTCACTTGCCTCCACAGGTACTACTGAAATCCTGTCATACAGCCACTAAAGAAAATAACTTCAGTGGCATTTTTTCAATTTTTCTATAATCTCTCTTTTTTGCATACTCATATCTCTGCCCCATCACTCGAAAGCCTGGGCACTAGCAAAGAAGAGGCATCAAAGTAAAGGCACAGAAGGAAAATTATACTTCATAATTTGAAACTCCTAACTTCCATTACTGCTAGTCCTGCTGGAATAATCACTGAAGTTGAAAGTGCCACATGGGGAAAAGACCTCACAGAAACGTGGAAATCTAGCAAGGAAAGGACACAAGATGAGTCACAGTGGCTACAGTGAGTTCATTGTAGAAGGAAAATCTACAGAGAGCAGAGAAACAACGAGCTATGATAACCTGATGGTGGGCTACTCCAGACATGCCCTGTCAAAATGTTCCTATCAGAGCTGCATCCCTTTTAGAAAGCAACTAGGCAAAAAATACTCTAATTTGTTTACAAGGATATTTCTAAATAAGAACTTCGGAACAATGTTTTCTGGAACTGTCTTAAAATTATAATAAACCTTTAGCAAAACTGTTGAATGAAAATATAAAACACTAACACTCCAAGTTAATCTAAATAGCCATAGCTCACTTAATTAGAAAACTGGCTACAGCTTCCCAAATACCCATCATGAAATAAGCCACAATTCTGATCTGGTCTTGTAATTCTTTGCCTCTTGTGCTGCACATAGTTCTATTTGTTTGGTTCTTTGGAATGCAAATTAGATGATAATTTCTTTCTTCTTCAAAAAAGTGGGATTTAATCTCAAGAAAAGGACAGTCATAGAGGACAAGTAAAAATGAGGAAAGGAGAGAGAACACAATGACTGGGAAAAGTATCTGTGAGCGCCAATGTACCAAACACCCATGATCCATTCCCTGGTTCATGTAAAATCCCTAAAGCTTTGCAATGATATCTTCAAGGGGACACACACACGGAGTCTGTAATTAAAAAAGTAAGATTTTTCCTCATGTAAATGCAATCATGCCCGTTTTGTCCTGAGTAAATCAATTGCTGCTCCTGGAACCAGTCTGGATGTGACAGATTCAGCCTTGAATGTCCGGTAGCAAGCTGTTGCTCTGCCCTGGCAGCAGCATGGGGAAGCATTTTGATTTATGGCTAATTATCCTCTCTGCCCTTTCCTTTCTGCTCATGATGGAAAGAAGGCAGGCCTCCCTAGACTGGAGCCAGAGAGCTTGTGAGCAGGTTGGATAAACACTGTCATTTTGTTCTAAATGTGCACAACAGCCAGCAGCTGATAAGGGAGATACTATGCTGCGGTGTATCATAAAAGTACTAACAGCAACAGCTGTGATAAAAAACAACCCCAGAAATTCACCTGATTTTTCACAGTTGTCAAAGAAAGGAACAGAGAACATTTGGTCCCAGCAGGAGTGCAGAGAGAATCACACAACACCTCAGGGCAGCTACAGATCTCAGCAGCAAGGAAGGCAAGACTTTACTTTCTTGCTTAGATTAAGCCAATTTACACTGCAGTTACACTTTCACAAGCTCTCTCTCTTGCTTGCTTCACCTGGCACATCTAATTTACAGGTGTCCAACAGAGCAGCCCTCACATTCACAGGGAGTTTATGAGGTTACATTTCCTGTGGGATGCAAAAGCATCCCAGTACCACTCGCTATAGGAGGTTGCACAGCTATCGATGAGCTAAGAGTAAGTGCCCCAAAATGGTCTTATTTAAGAATAAATAACAGAACCTATTGCCTGATCTTTCCTGTACACCAGACAAGGTAGAGGAAATTTTACCTTAAACTTATTTCCTACTGATAAGCCCTCAGAACTATACATGGGATTTTTGAACCTGCAGAGCTCTTATTGGCTGTGGGGCCAGCTGGCCACAGCACACCTTTCTTTTCTGTGTATCAAAAACCTCACAAAACCACCAACAACAGAGTGCATTTTATTAATTTCTCTCCTGCATATCATATCTTTGCTGGATTAATTGATTAATTAATTAAATAATTGTCTGGCCCAGTAAGACCATTAAAACAACAGATCTTTTACTGTACCTAAAGTTCCATTCCCTGTGACACGTAATCTAAAGATACATTTCAGCCAAAGGGTTCAGTCAGCCTGTAAGTTTTTTTCAGAGCAGGCCTACAAGTTAAAATTAAAGACAGAAGGGATTTCACTGAATATTGATGGCTTGTGGTGTTATTTAATGACTGGAAATTATTGAGGAAGCAGGACAAAGGCTAAAAAATATTAAAGGAAAAAATTGATTACAAGTTATTGCTGTGCAACACCAAAATCCAGATGCATAAATCCAAATACTCTTAGGAATTAAACTGACTTCAAAGAGATGAAATTTCATAACTTCACAAAAGAAAGAAATTTGCAAAGTTCTGTTCTGAATAGGGTGGGCACCTCTACTCTCTTTTAACTGCAAAATCTCATAGTGGAGGCATTTTGCATTTTACATCATATTTTTCTAGATTTTGAAAATGAGTTTGACATGACTCTCAGCTCCCTGATGCCTACTATCTGTAGGCTGTGTGTGCAAATAAAAATAGTGGGTGGACATGCTCAGCCAATGTTAGAGAGCAGAGGAAATGTGTGTAGTACTGCTGAATCAAGAGATTTCAGTCTTTTGTGCTTTTCCAGGCTCCATGTAAACCTAATCCTAAATAACTAGTGCAGTTCTTTATGTCTGTGAATCATCCATTGAACCTTTGTATCCTGCTTTTTAATTCTAGAAATCATATTAATCATCTTAAGCTGTCTTTTTGCATAACTTACTATTCATGAAACACCACATTTAGCAACATTATAGGTTTGTTTGCATGAAAGTCAAATTGGAGTTAAGAGTGAAAACTTGATTTATATACACTGGTTTCTGTTCTGTATTTAGAAAAAAGGGTTTCTTTAGAAAAAAAAATCAGCAACTGGGCAATTTTCTGAATTATTTGGTAAACACCCAGTGCAGATTGCTTCACATTACAGATTATTTGGTAACAGCAGCTCAGTTGATGGTTTGGGGATCAGCTGCTAGATTGTCCCCATGGTCAGAGCAATGGAATGCTTGAGAAAGAGTGCAGCAGCTGTCAGTGGTTGTGCAACCTGAGCCTTATCTTTTGGCAATTGGGGCATTCAGGTGGGTGAGCACGAGCAGGAACAAGCTGCAGCCACATTACGTAAGGCAGGTAATAACCCAGCAGGAGCACTCAGACCCTCCCCAGGGCCAGCCTCTCATTCTCCAGCTGGGCCAGGCTGCCCTGTGCCACAGTCTGGCATTCCACAGTGGAATGCCATCAAAGAACGTGACAGAATTCTTCTGGAGGGCCTCAGAAGAAATGGAGTGTTGATCTTCCCACTCCCAGTGTCTCCGCTTTGCAGCTGGGGAATGGAACATGCAAACAGAGCCTTGCCCAGGGTCTTGCAGGAAATGCTTTGGGAATGGCAGCATCCTTCTGCACATCTTAGCTGTACAGCTGCCTGCTCCTATGTATTTGCTTCACAGGGCATTAACAGGCAATATGTTGGCAACTGGGGACTCTAACCCAAAATATTCCCTTCCATCCTTTACAGAATGCAAGTTGGCGCAAATGAATTTATTCAAATTGACCAGAGCAGACTAAAATAATGTATTGAGTTCTGGCCTGAGGTGAATGAACTGTATGAGAAAAACAGGCACTATACCACACAAAGCCAGGAGTTTCAGCACCACTGGGAGAATGTGTAATGTTACTGAAAAGGAAATATTTGATTTATGATTTAGCATTTTTGTGCACAGACGGGGGGAAAAGTAGTGCTGTGGATGTTCTTTTTACAGCCACTCTTTTCCAAGTTCTTCAAAACCACAGCACACTGAAGCTCCCAAGAGTTCTGAAGTGAACAGACCAGACAACCAATAATGCCAGACAGGAGGGAGCTCAGAGGGAGCACTGGCACCCACCGAACAGCTGCTGGGGAAATCCAAGACCTTACAGAACCCTCCTGGACCTGCCAGTTTGATTATGCTGTTGTTTCAGTGGTGAGAAGACTTTCTAGAAAATTGATGAGCTCAAGGAAATTTTTTTCAACTAGATTGACTGAGTCCAAAAATGATACACTAATTTAGCAGGCAAGATGCTGATCTACTTCATAGCAAATAATGTCCCTACTTTATGAAGTTGCTTATTGATTTTGCTCATTGACTTCTTTCTGAGCCAATAGTAATATGAAATTAAAGGGACTTAAATGGTTTTAAGGAGGTTTACATATGGAAGCAATTTAAATGATAAATTGTCCTAATTGACTCTGAGGAATATTACTGATGGAGAACAGAGAAAGTCCACAGAAGCAAGTTGTAGCTTCCTCCCATGAATTGGGTAGTCCTTTAGATACCTGTATCCAGTTAACTGGTGATATCAGATGATTTCATTAGCTCAGATCTTTTTTTCTGTCTAGATATTCCCAGGCATCTAACCTCCATAGGTGTAAAATGTGAAGCCTACCAGACTGGTAATTTGTCTGATTTGCTAGGAGTTATCTATTTCAATATAGGGACTTTGGAAGTAGTTTCCTAACCAGTCAGGTAAGACTGAATTAGGGTGTAGTCCTCTGTGAGAAAGAAATCCAGAATGAGTCAGAAGGGAAGAGGATCTATACTGGAGGTATGGGCAGGCAGAACCCTAAAGAAATTCCCATAACATTCCATAGAACACAAGCAGCTAATCCTCTGCACCACTTCTTACTCTAATATAGATGTATTTTTTTTTTTTTTTAGTAAAGAAAAACATCTCTTATTTTTGCCAGTAAAATGTTCCAAAAGTTGGGGCTTTTTTTTTTTTTTCCGAAGTGTAGTTTGAACATAAAATTTCATTTTAGAAAGTCCTTACTTTTTCATGAAATCAGACTATCAGCAAGGATCTTCCCACAGAGTGTTCCAAGTGTGAGTGCACACAGATGAACAAACAGTAACCCAGAAAGGCATGTCACTAGAATTAAAAAAAAACCCAACCAAAGCAGCTCTGTCATCCTGATAAGCAACTAGAAGCCAAGTTTCTATCTTTTTGTTTAGAAATAAAAGGGTACATCTAAAAGGATGATTAAATACTGAGGCAACAATCTTGACAGGACAGATTTAGAGTTTCAAATCAGCATCTATGCTCGTTGCTCTGTTCTGGCAAACACCTAATCTACATCCACAGTCAAAAGTCCACATTAAAGTCAGAATGAAATGGGTATAGCTGCAATACCTTTCTTGTTATTACTGCCAGTACAGCACAAGGTGGTAATTTTAGCTCTTGACCCAGGTTTAAATTCATGCCTTATTTATATAACAAATGCATAAAACACTTTGATGACACAGGTCTTTGGCTCTTTCCTTTGACAAACAAAAAACCAAAATATCCCTCACAGGTATCAGCTTTACTCTGAAAATAGGTATTTTTTCTTGTACCTGGATAGAGCAAATTCATTTTGATGCTTATATGTAAATTCTATATTTTACCCTTTTTGATTACACATGCTTTCATTTTCAAAGAAAGCTTCACAATTCTCTAGATATTGCCAGCTAGAGCTGCCTGCAGAGGTCTGTACGTCTGGGTCACTGCTTTGTACTCCACATCTAATTATTCAATAGCCTCTCTCCCAGACTGATTGAAAGCCATCATGCAAATTCAATATCCAATTAAATTATTCAGGTATGCAAATTCCTCCCTTCAACCCTTTTGCACGACACTGTCAGATTCTTGAAGTGAAATTACATTGTGTTTGAAGTGCAGACTATATGGCAGCATAAACAGTATATGGCATTGCTTTCATTCAGGGCCTGTATTTACTAAAAACTAAAAAAACAAACCAAAACAAACAAACAGCAAAAAAACCCAAAACACCTAAGACAGTAGATTTCATTTGATTTGCTTAATAGCATTAGTAAAAACTACAAGCGTCACTCCACAAAAATGGCATTGAAAACTTTATAAGAGTGACAGGTTTTATTGAATCTAGCTTTCAGCGAAAAGCATTTCCAGAGCCAAGTCAGTCACTCAGAGGGATTCATCCACCTCATGCAGCGACTGTCATGCTATCTCCAAACCAGCCAAAGCAGTGAGCTGGCTTGTCATTATGGCACACTGCAGAACAACGTGGGTTAAGTCCTAGATACTTGAGAGTATTGATGATATAATACACCACAGTACATCTGCCTCTTCTTTAAATCTGCAAGTCAAAATATTGAGCAGGCTTTTGCATCCAGGCGGGAAATTAAATTTAAAGGCCAAAATCAAAGAACTTGCTTACCCAGTAACATTTCTGCACCCCAATTATAAGCCTGCTTAGCAAAGATCTCTAATTTGACTTCCACCTGGGGTTTCACAAACTAAGTCAGGTTGGACCTGGACAGCAATAGCATGAAATCAGTAGGACCACACCTTTGCCAAACCAGTTGAAATAAGAGATGCACCATGAGACAAATGGTTCTTTTAAGAGACACCATTAGCTGGTAACACTTCTTCAATATTTCTGCATCCAATACTCAAAGGAATAAATAAACAAAGGACAAATGGCTTTCCTCTGTGCTCTTGGTGGCTAAGAAACAAAACTGAGTCCCTAGTTTAAAACGAGGATTCCTTAAGAGTAAGGGTGTTCTCTGCATTGCTTTGAGGCAAACATGTCAGACAATTACAGCCAGCCTACACAGCTGGCTCTTCAAGTTCTGGATGGATGCTGCAGCTTGCTCACCTCCTCCAGCACCTGCCACACATTCAGGAGGGTTCATACCAGCAACAGGGCAATACAACACCTGAAGTACTTCACCAGGGTGTTGCAACAACAAGTAAAACTGGTCCTGTGTTATTTATATGCCTGCTGAGTGTTTGGCAAGAAGCTGTATAACACAGAGGAAACAATCTCTGACACTGTGCACACCCTGTTGGACTTCTTCAACATAGGCATAAAGAGACAGGGAAACAGAATAAACCAGGAGAGGCCAGTACTATTAGAGAAACTGGAATTGCATCTCCTCTTACCTCGACAGTGAAGAGCTCAGATGTCACAAATGTGCGTTCTTGTTTGATATCCAAAACTCTAGATCAAATAAGGGACAAATTAGAGATCACAACAATCCCCTGTCATTGCAAAACAGTTTCTGAAAGTGTTTGGGGAGTAAATATATTTTCTATTTTCTGAATTAAACACAATTCTACATGCTACAAAGGTGTTTTCAGATTGGAAAAAAAATGAAGGAAAAAAACTTTTCTGCAATATAACAAGAAAAAAAACTTTAATTAATTAATTACTTACAGACTTGGCTTCAGAGATGTTTGGAAACATTTCCTAATCTTTAATAATCTTTGTGCTAGTCTCTGATTATATTTCCCAACCATTAGTCTAATTTACCTTGCTTCCTCCCGAGCCAAAATCTCCAGTAGCTTTGACATGTCTCCTGGGCAGTCAGAAATCACAAGGGAAAATCTGCACACTCTGTTATCCAGGGTCAGGGCACGAGCTATGCACTGTTGCAGCAAATGTAATTCCAGGTTTCCACTGCATATAACAACTGCCACTCTGAAAACAGACAGAAAAAGAAGAGTTTTGATTAGCACTTGCCTGTGTAAAGGAAATATAAATCATAAAGACTGTGCCAATATCAGCCTGCTAGAACTTCCCCTCAATAAGTATTACAGATGAGAGGGCTCCTGCCTCAGCATCCATTGTCAGCAGGTAGGAGAGGCCTAGAAGTTGGCTGCATTAGTTGGTCTGAAGTGTTGTTTTCTTTTCACATTTCCTGTAGATTTGAGTTGTTAGAGATAATTAGCTGGACGACTGTAGGTCTAGATTTCAAGTTTCAAGAATTTGACATAATTCTCACCTGGAAGTCCTAAGTTTCAGCCTCTTACTGATCAGACAAAATATATGTTCAAGGCTTTCTGTAACCATTGATTAAATTCATCAAAACCCTGAAAAATGAGTGCAGAAATGTTTGAAGTGCAAGTGAAGAGCCACGTGATTGGTCTATGAAAATCTCTCTCTGCAGAGTCAAACCTAACCTCTTTGCATTTTCCCTTTTATTGTAGCTGTACTAAAATATGTTGCTGCTCTGTGTGTACTGTCAGCCTCTTCTGAAGAATTGTCGCGGCAGTATTTTAGTGTACAATGCTGTGTACTAGAAATTTTGTTTTGTCTTGAGGGCATGTGTGTTTAAATACATTCTGGACTATGCCTGAGCCAAGGCTCAATCCACTTAAGTGCTGAGTCCTCAAGCTGAGGGGCAAGGCAGCACATGGCCACACATTGAACACTAAGCACAAGGATAATCCCTCTGACTGTGTGGACAGTTCTCAGGACTGGGAGGCAGGTGCCACTGGGTCACTGCAGCAGAGAGCCCAGCTCCTGTCCCACCACAGACAGGGCTGGATTCCACCAGTGGAACAAGAGGAGACAACAGGCTGACAAGAGGAGGACACTGTCCTGGCAGGTGCAATGATGCCTCGTGGAGCTGTAGCTGCTCTTCCCCCAAATATCTGAGAATCAAGGAAAGGGACGAGATGCGTCAGGTCTCCAGGCTGGCATTTGTCCGGTTCAGGACAATCTTACCACCTGTGACTGGTCCAGTCAGTCTGAAGTTTCTGCCACCAACGAGCCCCTTGCCAGTTCAGGAGCAGGAACTGCCTGGTCACCCATGGAACAAGTAGATTTTCATCATTTCCGAGGACAAAGGTGCTCAGTGCCATGCTTTTGCCACAGTTCCCTGTTTGCAATAGTTGCTGTACCTTTTACCCTTCAACTCAGGCAGCTTCCCTGCCACCAGTGCTGCAAGCCCAATGGCCCCTTCTGCATCAACCGTGGCTCGCTCATACTCCAGCAGTCTCAGCATTGAAATGAGGATGTCCTCCTCCCTGAAAGCAAGAGACTTGGGTCAAAACAAATCAAAAGAGCTCCCAAAAGCAGAAGATAATGCATTTATGGGTAACAGGGTTCTTGCCATGCACCCAGATACATGTGATCCCAAGGTGGTGTTACAGCATGCTGTGCTGCTGGGGGTGAATGTACATCTCAGACTCATTATTAACTGAAAGACAGGATGGCTTGTTTACTAGAAATATTACCTAAATCCTAGCAGTAAGTATATTCCACAAATGTGGCCTTTTTGTGAAGATTTAGAAGAGGTTTGTCAAGGGCTGTTGTTCAGGTGTTGTAGAACACAAGGTGTTTTACACCCAGAGCATGACCAGATAGTGGTGGCAGGTGAAATTTTGGCCGAAGGGTGAGTTTGGACAATACTTTTAGTCATATAACTTCGTTTTAGGTAGTCCTGTGAGAAGCTGAGAGTTGGACTTGATAATCCTTCACGGATCTCTTTCAGTTTGAGATATTCTGTGATTTCTGTGGTTTATGGGTCTGGGTTCAAAGTCTTCAGTGCCCCTCTTGCAAGGAAGGGTACCCCATTCCCACACTGCCCCAGTCTGCATATTGCATTTTTCATATACAACAATGTGCATCCAGTATTATTCATGTCACTGCTTTTCTTCACCTACCTCACAGCAACAACTTTATCCACAAGCTTCCCAGTCAGCTGCAAAGAATTGCTGCCAAAGCAAACTCCACTCACATCTGCAGATTTCAAAAGACAAAAATATGAAGTTGGCTGCTTTAGACATATTCAACATTTTTTGGAGTCCTGGCTGGTTTGTACCCTTAATGAGTGCAGCACACTGCTGTTACATGACCTTAAGTTGCTTGATTTTTTCATGTGACAGAAATGTGTTTGGCAATGAAACACCAAACCTCACAAGAAGATTTTGCCATTTTGGACCCCTTCAAGAAACTTCTGATACTTCACTGGCATTGTTGCAATGTGAGAATGACCCTGCAGCCCAGTGCTTTTCACTGCTCAATAAGGATTGAAGGAGAGGAGACTCAAACACAGCACTGGGCTTGTTAGCTCCAGCAGGACATCTGGCTAAGAGTGCAGACACAGGCAGAGCAAACCAAGATAAATTAGAAGTTTCTTACAAAACTCCCATTTAATCCAAAACTTCCAGAGATTTGAACATCAGGCAAGCAGGATGTTCTTAAATTGCTTAACAGATGAGGTTTTTTGAGCAAATCAACTCTACCATTTATAAACACTTTCGTTCTGTGTCTAAATGTTTAAGCGCTACATCATTTTCCTGCCTTTTCCACAAGAGCTTTCCCACTGACTTCACTGGTTTGATGCTGCGTGTGAGCACAATGTTCAGACAAATACTCGCATATTTCTAAGTATTCATGTACACTGGAAATAACATCTTACCCCATCAGGGTGGGGGGGAAAATGTGGCAGAATTTGCTCTTAGCTAGAACTAAGTGCTGACTTTTCAAAGAACTCCCTTAAAATATGTTTGAACTGAAATAATGAGAAAATAATATAGTATGAGAAATTTGTTACAACCTTTATTTTACCTCCAAAAGAATACTGCATTTTCTCACCTCCATAGAAGTGATGATTGTTGCAGGCCTGGTCATCATTTGGGTGGCCAGCTTTTAAGGACTGTTGCAATACTGGGAAAGTTTCAGATTCAACTCCCTAAGGAAGAGAGATGTTGTCACTTTTTTAATTGAACCAGTTGTAACAGAAGATGCCACCAAAGTAGATAGCAAAATTTACAGAAAGTTCCTCTTCAAATTAGCAATTAATTTCAAGTGGCAAAACAACCATGCTACCACTAAACTTATTCCATGGCTTACTTAGGACCAAATTTTTCCAGTAAGAACTTATTTGAAAACACAGAACTGGATTTTATTTGCTTAGGAAAAATCTTCCCACACTTTTCTCTTAAATCCAGCCAAGGGACAGGAACTTCCCTGGTTCTTACAGGGTCTTCTCTGAGGCAAAGCCCATGGGATCAGATAGTTCCTGTCCCCAGCACAGGCAGTCTCTGCAAGTGTTACTAGATACCAGTGTCTTTTGTAAATAGCTGTGGTGAAAGCCACCCAAACACAATGCTTAATAGGTGAAAGGCAACTTACAATTACAGAAATATTTGGGTTGAGGTGTTTGAGTGCAGCAGCTGACCCTGCCAGCAAGCCACAGTGGCCTCCTGCAGGGAAAATCACGGCGTCCAGCTTTGGCACCTGCTCATACATCTCCAGCCCCACGGTTCCCAGGCCTGACAGGTACACAGCACTGTCCTCCCTGGGGGAAGGAGGGCACAGATCAGCAGAGGTTACAGTTCTCAGTGCAGTAATAATAATTCCATCTACTACTTTCAAGACATTGTTCAGCAGAAAAAGATAAATGTGGGAGTAAATCAGCAGCACATGAGGGGAGGAGGTGATGCAGCAGGACGGTGCCATCAGGTGGATCGCAGTATGCTGCTGCCTACTGGGAGAAAACTTGAGCAATAGACAAGCCCCTCAGTCTTCAGATGAAGAGCACTTAACTCCCATTGTTATTAGGGATTTACAGAACTGGCAGGGAGAAGTCATATTTCCATTGCCATCACTACCTTCAGCTTTATAAATTTTAAATGTTGCAGTCTAAACTACAAGCAAAGCCTCAAAAAGAAATCCTCTCTTTACTTATAAGTGGATTTTGTGTTTGTGATGAATGGAAATTTTCATGAGATTTAAGCAGTGTGTTCAACCTCACAAATATCAAAGAGATTGCTAGAGTTGTCTTTCCACAGTCCACAGCCAATATCTGATACCTTTGCATTAAGCAAAGCATTTTAGTCATGCCAAAATATTTACTGGTAAAATACTTTAAGGCAAATGTAGTATAAATAATAGGGGCAAGCGGCACCAAAAAATTGAAGAAAACTCCACTATACAGGCATGACTGACTTGGATCTATTTCTAAAAGCTGGTTTGCATTTTATTTACAAGTTAGCAATGATGTAAATGTAGAACTACATGTAAGAAAATAAATATGAGCTCTCTGTACGTTCTGTTTTTTCTGGGAAACAGAACTGTAGATCCAATGGCTGTACTTGATTTACTTGACCCAAGGATGTTTGGGTACAGGGAAACTGTTTTTATTACTGTACCTGTTAGACAGGCATAGAGAGGTTCAGTGTAGGAGCACAAAATTCCTGCAAGGAGGAGACCAAGGCTCTTGAGAAGTTACCTCACATATATATCAAGACACAGAAAATTCTTCAGGGCAAGGGTCTATATAACTACATAAGAAAGGATTGGATTAATGAACTTCCACTCCTGCAGCACAGCCAAAGACAAAGGCAAGAAATCATAGTGGAATGAGTAACTGAATGCTTGTATTTACTGTCTTTATCAAGATACTGAAGCAGCTCTCTCCTCCTCCTTATATGTGACAAAATAGATCACTGGCCTCCTGAACAATTCTGGAGACTTACTCTCAAATAAGACTCAGATCCAAGTTTGTGGAGCTACTCCTGCCATAGTTACATGGGGTACAAGGGGACCTGCAAAAATGAGTGAAGGCTTGGGATATTCAGTGAAGGAATAAAGCCTCTCTAGCAACTGAAAACTGTCCAAATGAGACTGCTCTGAGCACAGACAGTTGTTAGCAATTTGAATCAATATTTCAGATCATCATGTTTTCCTTGCTAACATCCAGTTGAAACATCAGTTTACTGATCAGCCATCAGCTTTTATAAGAAAATGGGTGATTTTCTTTGCATTGTGACTGATAACTTTTTCTTTTTGAAAGTAAAAAATGTATCATATGCCATTGAGGCAAAATGAAGGAAGAGGGCAGACTGTAGACTGAAACAAGCATTTTGGAGCCAGAGCTAGAAACTTGGATATCTGCCTTCTGCAATGTGTGATGCATCATCAATCAAAGATGGGCTGTCAGGCTTTAGCTTTCCCATGAAGTTTTGGTGCAGCAGCTAGAGGGCTCTGTTCCTATCTGCTCCTAGGAAAGAAGTGAGTCTGTTGGATAGAGCAACAGACTAACCAGATCAGAAATAATCAGGTTTGATCAACACTTAGATATGCAGTTACACAAGAAAAAAACTGGGTTCTCAAGGCTGGAAGGTGTGTAGTTCCATCTGCAGCACTCTTTCCTCCCTGATTCACAAAGGACTGTTTCTCATATCCTCACAGAGGTACTGAGTTATTGGCAATAGTCACATTGCATTTATAATGAGGTCCTGAGCCCCTGTAGTTAGTAAACAATTTCATGCCACCTAGGCAGCAATTAGGCAGACTAAATGATTGAATTCCAATTTGAAAAATCACATTTCCTTCCTGGGATTCCCCAGGAAGTTGCAACTGAGTAAAAAGTGTCCTTCATCTATTTGAATTCTTGCATGGTCATTTTCATGACACAGTATTTTAATTGCACTCAAGCAATGGGAAGAGCTGACGGTGACACACCCAGCTGCAGGGCATCGCCCCTGCAGGCACAGCCCAACCCAGGCACGTAGGGTCTGCTTCAGGAAGGGCAGAATGAATTCCTGGGTGAGGAGAGCCAGAGACCAAATTGCTAGGGATTGTATCCAAGCTAGAATTAAACTGAAATACAGTGACATTTTGGAAGCTCCATTCTAACACCTGGGAGCTCAGCTGGTATGTTACATCCAGCTTTGGCAAATGACAAGAATGTTTGTCAGACCCACACTGGAGAAGACTGGCTATCCATAAAGGCATACATTACACTGGGAAATCTACACCTAACAAAATATTTTTTATATAATTCCCATGATGAAAAGCCTCACAACTGAAGTGGGGGGTTTCTTCCTTTTTTTTTTTTTTTTTTAAAGTAAAAAATTGCATCTGTGGGGTTTTAATTAAATGGAGTCACAGATTGAACAATTTGTTTCTTGTAACCTGAAATAAATCAGAGTGCTTTAGTATTATTAATGGTAGTGTGCACATTTTTTTTTTTTTTTTTTTTTTTTTTTTTTAAGTAAAAAATTGCATCTGTGGGATTTTAATTAAATGGAGTCACAGATTGAACAATTTGTTTCTTGTAACCTGAAATAAATCAGAGTGCTTTAGTATTATTAATGGTAGTGTGCACATTTAGATTTCCTCAGTGTTGGATGCTGAAGTTCTACATATGCATTGCCCCTGGAGCTCCATGAATATGGAGAATAGCTACCTTATGTGATTTAAATCATTATTTATGGATGAGGGGAAGATTAAACATCAAATTACAATAAAATAATTTATTTCTTTTGTGTGAACGTGATAGTTGATGAAAGTTAGCTGGAGGTTAACACATCAATTGAAAGATGGCTGACAGAAATTTGGGAATCACCAAATTATGGAAAACTGTGGTTTTCAAAGGAGCTTAAAAGTGTTTCAAATTCATTGGGTTTCAGGGCACCTCATTCCCCACTGAAAATCCCAGTCTGGGACAAGACTGTGCCCATGGTGGCAGACCAGGCCCAGGAACCAGCTCTGTGTGTCACTGGCTGTTGCAGAGCTAACAGAGGAGTTGAACAGTACAGTTTGTAGTATTGCCTTCCCAATACACCAGCTGGGAAAGAAGTGAGGACTTGCTCTGTTCTGCTCATTCTGGGATCTTCTACCCAGGTAACAGCCCTCACCATGACTGTGTTTGAGGCAGCAGTGCCTGGGAGCTGGAGGGGAACGGGCACTCCCTGCAGGAGATGTCATACAAACACCAGGAGAGGGATGAAACCTGCACAGAAGCAGCAGTGGTAGGGGGACAATAACATTCCAGCTCAGGGTATCAGAGGGACCACTGTTAATGATTCACCCCTCCGTGCTTTTGGAAATTTTTCTTGAAGAAAGGTTAAAAAAGAAAAGGGGGTAGTGGGAGGAGGGGAATGCATAAGAGGCTACAGAGATTAAAGAGAAATTGAAAAATATATTAGTTCTAAGTGGTTTTGCCTGTCTTACCTATGTTTTTGTTACATCTGCCTTGTCCAGTGACCTCAAATAGCTCAAATTTAGATTTATGCTCATTCTTAGCTACTTTAAGTGTATCCCTGAAGTAGTCTCTTAATCATCTTTTTTTCAGGGCAGTATCAGTTTTGTTCCTCATGCCAGATATGTGAAAATCTTAGAGCTTTAACCTTCTCTTGCTCCACATTATCCCACTGAACCATTTGCATTAAAGATTGACTTTTACCCTCCTAACTTCAGAGAGGCCAGGAATGAACACTAGCCTAAATGCTTTCTGACAGAGTTACTAAAGAACTACAGCCACCATCATATTAGCCCATAGAAATCAAAGAGTTTGCCTAATTTAGGGGCAGAAAAGAGTGTTTCATTTTGGTCTCCATCCCTAGCTGCCACAGAAAGAATGATTTGTGCCTGGGAACACATAGCCATCCATATATCAGGTAAGAGGAACTTTTGGATGAGCTGTGATAACATTTTAATGAAACTAATTGTTTTTGCAGAGCTGTGCAGGCGTCTAATCAGATCTCTCTAATGTGCCTGGCTTTCACTCACTCTTCCAGGTAGAGGTAGCCGTTCTCCTGTGCCAGCCGGCGGGCGTGCACCTGGGAATCCTTGGCAGTGGTGCCGTAGGAGATGACCATGGCACCATAGTCGCGGCACATCCTGACCCTGGCCGGAGCCGTGCTGGTGGACAGGATGACAAACACGGGAACACGGAGCTCTGAGGCGTGGTAAGCAACAGCCATGGAAAAGTTACTGTCCGAAGCCACGATCACCCCTTTTCTTTGCTGCTCCTGAAAAACAGGGTTGTTACTGCACACTAGAGAGTGGCACATATCTGTCCCATGTGATCCTGCATCATTCTAATGATCTGGCTTCCTTTTTTCCCTTTACTAGCTGATTGAATTGTGATATTATGGTACACTATATGCATGGTTGGTGCGATCTCAGGATTTATACACAAAGCTAAAGCAGCACAAGAGCAATCCCTGTGCCCACAGTCCTCTGGGTTCAATTCTTGTTCCATGGGAAAGAGCTCAAAAACTCCAACTGATCACAGAAGAGCTGATATACCTCTGCTCTACCTGTATGAAATTATTTAATTTCAGGCTTCCTTTTAACAAAAGATTTAATTTATATTATTGTGAAAGGCAGGAATAATCACTGCTCTGGGCTGCTGTCTCATGCCTACTATAACAATTATTACTGCAGAGACTCCTATGACGATGGCAATAACCTCCTATGACAAATGATAAACAAGCTATTCATGTCAGAAAACTGAAATTCATTACAAAATCAATTGGTGATCTAGATCTTTGTCATCATACATTGTCATTGTTCAATTCAATTTCATCATCACTCATTAGTTTGGTGGTTTCAACATATCAGAACAACAGTGCACATAAAAACATTTGCATCTTAATGCCACAGAAAAATGCTGATGTTTCCGTTTTGCAAGCTTTTGTTTCAAACATTAGGAATTTCAGCAGCAGATTAGCCAATTGTAAATAAAGTAGTATTTTACATTCAGACCTATATCTGTTCACATGCTGTGTTCAGTATGATGATTCTAAAGACAAGAAACACTGTGATTCCACAGAGATTAGAGGTAAATTTATCTTCAGCTCTGCTCCATTTTCATCAAGCAGAACTACTCTACTTCTTTTGAATGCTGATATTTTGCTGTACCTGAGGCAATGACATCAGAAGGTAAAGCACACCTCGTTCCTTCACAGACCCTGTGTACTGGAGGAACTCCTTCTTCAGGTAGATGTCCATTCCATACAGCTTGGATAGCCTAGAATACTGGAGTAGATAAATAATATTATGTCAGTATATCTACTATTAAGAAAAATCTTCCATTCTCCATCAGCTGCCTGCTGAGGCATGAATTCTACTCCTATATAGGACCTCTAAAAAGCAAAATCCACCTTCTGCTTCTTCATTCACAATAGTGTGTTGTTACCTACCAGCTCCTCCTGCTTTATGGAAGTGATTTTCAAACTCACAGCAGTGAAATATGGAGCACATGCCATCAAGAACTCTGAAAATAGCACTTGCTGTGGATCTTACTGTTCAAACACAGGCATAAAAAAAATATTTTCAATTATCTCAAAATCCATGCTTCCAGCACTTGCCAGAACTGGATACCCCATTATGGTTTCTGCCACTGATTCTCTGCAATAGTGTTGTCTATTTTGCATCCTAAGGCCTGTAGAATATTAGTAAAGACATTTCTTACTCAAAGGAAAATGGAAACAACAAAAAACAATTTCCCAGGACTGCAAGCGTAAGCAGCAGCTGTTTGGAAAAGCTTAGTGTTTGGAACAGAAATGATGCCTGAGCTGAGGGGAATTAGCAAGCACATTACATGTGATGCAGTGCCCAAGTGCATGTTTTAAAAAAAATTTTAATGGCAAATATTTGTTAAGCTTTATAATAAGACACTCCCAGCATGTACCAACATATTAATTTCCTACTACCATATTCATTAAACCCAGAGTTTTACACAAGATAACTTGTGAAATAGAGCTGCAGTAAGCCTGTGGGTGCCAGCTCCCCAGGCTGCAGCTCTATTTCAGAATTGGCTCCACCACCTCTATTGGCTGCCAAAGCAAATGAGGCCCTGGTGATTTAGGGGATCAAGTCCTCATTTAAGATAAGTCACAAGTGACACAGATCCAAAACCAGCATGACAAAATATTTATCTTAAGCAATATCTGGTGGTGTCATACATACAATGTATAGTGTACACACTAATATGCACTGACACGGTTTTCACACTGCAGGACTTTCCAAGTGAATTTATATAAACTAAATATATCTGAAGCAGACATTTGCTTTAAAGTATGCAGTTAAACTACATGCTTCAGGTAAACATTTCAAGGCATTTTAGTGGATTTCCAAGAATATGTTTAAGTTCCTCACCCATAGGTGGGGCCAGATTCTCTATTTTGCCTCTGAAAATCCTGACATAGGAGCTACCACTTGCTGCTCCTTTACAAATCTGGCTGCAGAAACTGAAACAATGGAAAGTGCTTAGCACACTAATAGGATAATAGTTTATATCCTAAACATCCTAATCTATGGAGAATGCCTATGCAAAATAGAGCAAGAACACCATAAAATAAATGCTACTAGTACTTCAGATATCATTCCTCTTTTTGTAGGATTCTAGAGTGAACAATCAGAAAAAGGATTTAAGGAGATTAATCCTGTGCATAATAAAGTTGCTAAGTCTCCTACATTTAAAACTGTGTCCTTAAGTCACACTTTCCCACAGGGGTGGTGTACTTTAGATTGATATTTATCTTTAATCTTGATAGTCAGGATTCTAATTCTATAGGTTATTCTTTTTGTCTTCCTTTAACTGAGGATTTTTTCACATAGCCCAAATATAGCAACTACTTCTAGCAAAGCAGGCATCAGTGCTATTTGCAGTTGAACTGACCTGATGTGTGACCTTCTAAGACACATTGAACCAGCCCGTAAGATTTCCTTTTAGTCACTGTCATCTTATCTAAGGACTACAGATACCGTGTCTAAGGTACAGCACACAGCACAGCCTCCCTCTGGCATCCACAAAGCTAACACAACACAACCCTTACAGCTCCTTCATCAGTAGCCAAACCAGGTGCCCAACTTGATGTCAGTTCCTAGTTTTATGCTTACTACCTCTTGGACATGTTACAATTCACTCATGATGCCATATCTCAGCTCCAAGGCAAACTCTTGCCTAAGGAACCAGGATGCTCCATCCATGGTTTTACCTGCAGATTAGGAATCACCCTATGCAAAGTGTTTCTCCCTTCAATTAACTAAATGGATTATAGTCACACTCACTTTTTTAGTCTAAACAAATATCCTTGAAAGGGGCTCTTACCTCAACATGATGAGTTAAAATACAGGTTTCCTGTGTTTTTCATGACACCACTCTGTTCTTTTGAAACAGTGCATGAAATGCACTAATAACTTCTGGAACATTACTTTGAATAACAACAGTCATGGGCTATTTTCACAGTAAAATATACAGATTTTTATATGGGTATAGGTTTTCCACTATTCTGGTAATTTTAAAAGCATAGTTCATAAAAAAAGACTAAAGAAAGTGAGACTTTAGTTTGAAACAGTAAATGCAGAAAGGGGATACAACTGGGCTGCATAAATCTTCCAGGGACAACCAGGAGAAAGGAGCTATTTAAATAAAGGGGTGTCATGGTTTAACATCAGCTGGCAACTAAATATCATCCTACCACTTGCTCATTTCCCTGCCCGTGTGCTCTGGGGGAGAAGGCCAAAAGTGAGACATCTCATGGGTTGGGATAAGAACAATTAGTAAGAATAAATTTAAAAAAATAACAACAATGTAATTAAAAGGAAAATAACAAAGAGAGATAAGTAAGACCCAAGAAAGACAGCTTATGCAATTGAAAACAATGGCTCACCAACAACCAGCTGATGACCAGCCAGGCCCTGAGCCACAGGCCCCCAGCCAACTTTCCCCCTAATTTTATTGCTGAGCAAGGTGTCATATGGTAGAGGAGGTCTCTTTGGTCAGTTGGGGTCAGCAGCTCCAGCTGTCTCCCCTCCCAACTCCTTGTACATCCCCAGTCCTTTGACTGGTGGGATGGCGTGAGGAAGAGAAAACGCCTTGGCTCTGTGAAGAGCTGCTCAGCAGTAACAAAAACATCTGTCTTATCAACAATATTTTCTTCACAAATCCAAAACACAGCCCCATACCAGCTACTGTGAAGAAAATAAACTCTACCTTAGCCAAAACTTCCCTGCAGTCCAGCCAAATATTTTGTGCCACCTTACAGCCCCAAACTGTCTTGTTCCTTGTCCTTTGACACACGACACACTTCTTCAGTAATGTGCTACAAAAAGGACAGCTGTCCTTACTTTGGGAATGCTAGGCTAAAAAGCCCAAACTGGAATTAGTTATGTCTCTGGATCAGCAGGCATCATATGGGAACAAGGAGAACTTTGAGGACCCAACCACTTCACTCCGGGGACTGCTAACCCCAAACAGATTGCAAGGTTCTTACCCTGTGCATGCCAGAAAAACAATCCACAAGTATTCACTGAGAGTTTGATTTGGGACTGCTGCTAGGAATTGCCATTTGGCAAAGACACTCTTTTCACCCACCGAAAGGAAAAGAGAGAACCCAGAGAGCCCGGAGTAGCCTGCTTGAAGAGCTCCCAGTGGTAGAAAAACACTATGAAAAAGTACAGAAATACAGTACAGCTTGCCATTGTACTTCTCTTATGCTTTAGCAGACCTTGTACATTGATGGAGGTATCTCAGTCATTTCTACACAAATGACAGGTGCACATGTTTGTGTGCATCCTTATTTTGCTGAAGACACCTGTGGCAGAAATACCTGGTTACAGAACATATCCAGCCCTTCCTGGTTGGCCTGACTCAGAAGGAAAATCTGTACCTTTAAACCCTCCAAATATGAGGGGGTTCCACAGCAGACCCTCCCACAAGAGTGCTTACCCAAACACTCATAGTCTGCCACCTCCAACTCAGGTTCCTTATAGCAGGAGTTTTTCACTGGGAGCATAATACCACATTAAGTCTATGCCTAATGTGATTTATCCTTTGTTTACAGGTCACTGCAATCTTTGAGGATTTAGGTTAGTGTAAACAGATAAGAAGAAAATTATTATTGACAGTTAAATACAATTAATATGAACATGACTCTTCTCACACAGATCTATCTGCTGCAATTCACACATACCCTTTCTTAATTTCTGACTGACTTTCATAAGGAAAATGAAAAGAAACATTGAGAGAATGCAAAACCATAAAGATTCCCTACCATGCAGGGGGTTTTCTGAACACCACACTGGATTTTGAAGGCTGCTGCACTAATGTCTTCAAATCGAATCAGCCTGTTACAGCCTGCCAGGCTGGTCCTACTGCTTGGCTGAGGGATGCAGGAAAGGGCATCCCTAATTAACTCCTCATTTCGGCTCACTATCTTCATTTCCCAGGTCTTCACATCCCCGTTCAGGTAATCCTCCTCACCAAAATCCTTCAGTCTCTCAGGGTTGATAGAGGGTGGCTTCTGCCCAATAAGGCCATTTCTTACAGGGACATCCTTACAGCAGTGAAGATCACAAACTGCCAGGATATCTTGTTTCTTTATTCTATTGTCATCCCTGAAAACAAATAAAAGAAACATGTTAGAAAGGCTTGGACGATTAAAAGCTTGATATTTAGCGTTTTCGAAGGATGCACATGTCAGTTGCTCTTTGCAAGCCTCAAACAGGCAGAGTGAGTTGCTACTGACCTACCTGTAGGTGCACTGAAAGGTACTGTAACCTTCCAGCTGTTAGAAAAGCACAAATAACCCGACATATGGGCAAACTGTGAAACTGTCCTACACAAGAAAATAAGAAATATATAATCTGTGCTGTCTGGACAGCAAGACCTTCCTTAGTACTCAGTATTCAACTGGCAATGATCCTAGTTCAGTGCTTCCAAAATTTTTGGAATAATGGAGTTCTATTTTCTGTACACAATTCTATCTTTTTCAAAAAAGGCAAGGAGTTGCTGCAGACCATTGCCATAAACTATTAATAGCAGTAACAAATGCCACTACAATGTACACAAGAGGTCTGCTCTCTGCCCTTGCATACTTGCAGAGTGTACTCTTGACAGCCATCAACTGCCTCATGAGGGGAAGAAATTACTTTGATAAGGTTTGATAATTATATCTTCCTACACAAATAAAGAATTAGGTCTTCTGATCTGTGGGTTTACATTTCATGGGTAGATATCTGTTTAGATATGGCAGAAATGTGATGTACAAACATCTCCTTCCCCAAGAAATATAGGAGAGACAGCACTGCTAGAAAAAATTTCCAGATTTGCTACCTTCAACTGCCTGATTCTATGGTCCACAGTGTTCAGCCCACAAGGAGCACTGTACTGTAGTGCAGGATTTTGCAGTCCTATCAACAGATAAATGCAAATCTTCTAGGAATTCTTGGAATTTGGAGATTATTATGGGGAAAGGGAGCATGAAGCAGAAGACCAGTGGAAAAGAGCTGATAACACCCCTGGTTTGTGCTGTGATTAGACAGATGATATAAGCTCCTCTACATGACTCACTATTAATCTATTTGGTGGAAACAGTTTTCTAAAAACAAACATGTTAAATTATGTGAGAGATTCCTGCATTATCTCCAACAAAAAATATTTACCTTTTTCCTAAAATAATTTGGGTCTAAGTTTTGCAGCTATCCATCAACAGGACTAACTAAAGCACACTTTACAGCAGTGATCAACACCATAATATGCTTTGCAGCAACTTCCAAAAGAATTTTTAAATATTTAGAAACATCTGTTTTTTGAGCAATTGCCCACTTTGGGCAGTATCATCCATTTCCTTAATGGTATCAATAATCTGTGCCAGTAGCTCCGGTTCCTATTACACTTCAAATTTTTCCACTGATGAATTCACATAACAATATGAGCAACATAAAATGTTATATTGTTAGAATCAAGTAATATACCATAGCATCAATCATTCTGTATATCTTCACAGGAGAAAATTTTTGTAGCAAGATCTTCTCTCTTTAAAATTAATGAGCACACTAATTTTCTAAGATAAATATATACACATTTGTGACCTCTTTATGTTGAAACTTGTGATCTAAAGTATTTTCCCAATACTGTATCTTAAAGCTGATACAGCCTAACACCAGGCATTCTGCTTTCAAATCAAGTAACTTATCAAGGAGCTCTGCTCTATACTTTTCTGCATCTCTGCTCCATTGGGGTTAGACAGCTGGAACACTTCATAAAGATGTTAAGCTTCCAGTGTTAGCTAGTGTGCACATTAGTCTGCTTAATGCAAAGCTGAGAACCAGATCAGACTGCCTGCCTGTGAACTTGTTGCAGCTCAGCCCCCAAAAAACAACAGCAGCAGCATCCAAGAGGCCACACCACTGGTAGAGTTCATTCCATACCCCTCCTTTCCAAAAAAATAAGTTTCCTTGTCACAGACTCCCATAACCACTTCAAAAGGAAGAACAGATATGTCTTGTTTCTGAACATACTGTCTGAAACGTTTAGCAAGCTTTGGCAATGAATTATGTTCTTACACTGGAAATGGTTTAAAGGGGTCTATGTAGGGTAAAAAAATAGGCAGATCAAAAATTTGTGAATTTATGGGTCAAATTTTTTAACCAACTGGCATTTGAGCTGGAAGAACAATTCTCATTTTTCATTGCATCTGTTGCAATCAAAATGTCTACAAAAAGACCCAGCCAAAGATGACCACAAGAAGTTTATCAATGAAGCAGAATTCTGTGAAAAAGTAGAAGTCCATGGCAATGCCTCATCACACTAGTGCCATCACATACTTGTATCTGCAAATAGACTAAATTGGTATATTGATTTTTTTGCCCTAGTCTTAGGTTTCCCTTTTTTTGGCAGAAGAAAAAGGAGGGAAGTAAATCAGATTCTCAGTCCTTGATGTGCAGTACCACTCCCATGACCAGTGAGTATCTGCTCAGGACTCCAATGGAGACAACACCTTGTGACCATTGGAAAAGAGGAACAGAAATCAAACAGCTGCAAAATATGTATAGGCTTTTCATGCTTGAGTTAGGTTTAGAGCACATCTGAATTATTACCATCATGAAAACTATCATACATTTGCATCCGAAAAGTCAGCAGCCTCTTTATCAAGGGGATATCATTCTATTGCATATATATATGTATTGTGTGTATTTATTTCAGAATAACTTTGATTCTTTTTCTACACCCACACATTTCATTTATATGAGAGAAAGACATTTTCCCATACTGAGCCCACCTGGATGTGCACAGACCTTCCTAGAGCTCTCAAACTCCCAAGGTATACAGCGGGCTGAGTTTCGATCACATATCACAAATGGGCAACTAATGGCCCTCTTGGGTCAAAAGTATTTCTTGCCTTAAAAGCATTCCACACGCTTGGCAGAGATCTAGATGAATTTCTTTCACAGGAACAGCCAAAGCAGGCAGCAAAACATGCAAGTGCTCACAAAAACACAGCACGTGACTTTCTCAAGCACAGTCACAAAATACAGCCCCCGCTCCAGCAGCCATGTCCACCAGATGAAGATCTGAGCCAATATAAACCCAAACCCCAGCATTATAAAGCACTGCTCCTTTCAAATGGAGTTTTTCCTTTTTTGGAGCTTGTCACAAGTTTTCATTAAAAGGTCTGTTTATTTCCAGACCTAAAACAAATACCCAGCTGGCAAACTTTGTTACATGGTTATAAATTACAACATTTTACCTTTAAAGTGATTAGTAAAAGCAAACATGAAAATACAGTTTATAAACCTACTTTTTCAAGAACAGCTGCTCAGCATAACTGGAAAAAAAAAGAGAAGACCCGTATGCAGACTTTCCATAAACAATTAAGGCGCAGGAAAAAATATAATTTGTTTAAGCAGATAGCTTTACATATTTTAAAATCTCAAAGTCAATGCAAAAACAGTGTGCACCAAAATGTACCCCTACAATAATAAAAAGCAACAACTTGGAATGATTCATTTTTCTATATCCAGTTTGATTTTTGAACATACGGGTAATATTCATCAAGTTAAACAGCACTAGGGAAAAAACTTCAAAAATAACAATATTAACAAACTAATAAAATAATAAAACCAGCAAAAATAATTTTGGAAGATGAAAGGCAATAATGCATACTATACCTAAAGACCACAACTGTTGCCTTTGTTAGCCAGAGAAGTGTCCAAGTGTGCAATGATGGACAGTTTCATGTCCCCATGGTGAAGCACATTCAGATTGCCTCCCTCAGGACCCACAAAGCACACTAAACAGATTAAACTGGTGCACTGTATCTCCTCAGCTTCTAAAACTGAAGAAGCAAAATCTGCAAAATCACATAGGTCCAGGGAATAGCGAAGTGTGAAAGACTAATCACCATTCTGCCCAGTATAAATGTTAGAGGGAGATGGTATTAAAGTATTACGCAGAAAATTTTTAATTTGCCTTTTTAGAGAAAATAATTAGCTCACAGAACTCATTGCAAGAAGACTCTACAAAGAACAATGTAAATGTGCTCCTAAAAAATATGCACAACTAAATGGAAATAGTGACCTATACACACATTGTTCAAGAATTAAACTGTGATTCAAGAAGCCCCTGAGCAAACTCCATGAAAGCAAGTGAGAAAAAGTGTCTTAGGTGGCTTTTATTTTTCCCCGAGTTGCATTTCTGGCCACCTCTAGAGAGAGGACACAGGGGAGGACTGCTCTTTGGCCTGACCCAGTGCTGCCATTTTGATTGCAGATGTGCCCAATGCCAGCAGTTGGCCCATTTGGCAGCTTTTACGCTTTCAAAAGGAGTCACAACAGCATGTTTTAAGGCAGACGTAAAGTTGAAATTATGGACATACATTCTCATGTACTGGTTCACAGATGGAAATTCAACTGTCACAAAGGAAACTAATTGTAATATAAGACTGAAAACTCAGCCTTTCTACAGCAGCTTTTGTCATCTGCATTCACAGTGATACACATTCACTATAAAGAGGGACTGACAGTGTTGCAAGATGTGCAGTTGAGCAGTCAAAATATGCTAAGCTTGAACATCACTTCAAACTCATATGCACATGTTCTCTACATGTGGATTTTAATTTTGTCCTTTTTTAATGTTTTGGGTATCAGGGTTTCTTAAGGTCACACCCATATGCTGCCAGCATCTCCAGGCTGCCTGAAGACTTTCCTGGAGCACACTGACCAAGAGACATTGGTAAGATACAGCTTTAAACATATTTGTCATCTGCTTTCAGGTAACTGGGCTCAGATCTTACACCTGCAAGTTCAGAATAATTATTAAGGCAAAAGATTACCCCATTTGAAGTCACTTCTGCCTCATTCCTCTCTGTTGAGCAGAGATGGGGCATGTACAGGGGCAAGGCAGAGTGAGCAGCCTGCTGCAGGTAGTATTCTGCTTGGCTTATGACTGCAATGTGGCTGGGGCTGGGATCTCCTCTTGCAGGAGTGAGAAAGAGGCAATCCCAGGTTATGACAGAGAGGGCCCTTTCCCTCAACCAAATCCCTTTTACCCAGAACCTCTCCAGCTCCATTAATCCTTCTAATTCCATGTCCCAGCGCTGTCTCCTCTGACCCTTCTTGCTACCTGAGCCTCCCAGACCCCTCTGATACTTTCCTCATTTGTTGCAATCCCCTTTTCCAGTAGCTCATAAACATTCTATCTCAACTCCTCTTCTGCCTTTTTACCCATTCCCAAATACATCCAAATACTGCAATAGCAGTAATTCTTTAAAGCATCTCAGCAACTTGTGCAAGTGTGACTTTATGAAAGAGAAATGGTAGAAAAATAGAGGTTTGCTGAGATAAAAGTATCAAGAAGGATCATACCAAATGTCATCATCACTACCAGAAATTCCAGGTTATGCACTCAATAGTGTCTGAGTGCCCTGCACACCACTACAGGGTGACAAGTAAACTCCTGCAGGCACAGGGAAGGAACACAATAAATTTGACAATTCTCTCTCTTTGACAATAAATTCAAAACAGATCAAAGACAATACTGCACTCTAAACATGAGTGTCTTGAATTATCATTATTTTGATATTGGAATGAATTATCAGTATTTTGTGTAATACTAGTACTTAGAAACACCCAGTCGAGACTGTATCACTCCAACTAGTGGCACACACAGGATAGAAATATAAATTTCATATCTGACCTTTATATATCCAAAGCCTATGCAAAGTGATTGTTCCTAAATCACATAGGAATCACCTTCCCCTAAACAGAAGGACATGTTCAGCAAATATTAGCTCAACTTTATTGATGGAAACTGGGACACAGACAGATCCAGTGACTTGCCTAAGACTTCCGCAGGGCTATTTATCAGAGTCTCTTAAAGACAAGGAGGTCGGGGCATAGTAACCATGCTGGGTGACAACAGTAAGCACTGTGACCATCCAGCAGGGACAGCTGCATGATAACCAAACCTTGAGACTGAGCAGGCCTTTGGAACTCTACTCACCATATACAGGTCTGACAAACCTGTGTGATGCTGCACCAGCAACACACACAAAGAAAGCTCAAGCTCGTGCAGCAAACAACCAAGCTGTATTATCACCTCTGATAAAATCTCTCCTTACTTTTAGCAAATCACATTTACCAGAGCCTGAGCCTAGCACTATATATGCCTTCATCTGTGGTCATAATCTATTGCCATTCTTCTACACACACCATGCACATGTCATTGCTTACTGCTGGCAATGGCAACTGGCTGTCAGCTGCTGAATAGAAAACACTAGGAAAAGCAATCTGAAAGCAAGAAGAATTCACAAGACCACTCATAATGGAAATGTTGAAGCAGAGGTAACCAACTGTCCTTCAAACAGACACATCCCTCTCAGAAGTTCTTATAAGACATTGAAAGCTGTGAATGTCAAATGATAGCTATCCAACACTGCACAGAGTTTGGCACCTAAAACTCATTAAGGAATTAAACTTTTTCCTAAGCTGAATGTATTCTGAGTCTAAAGGTTTTCTTGTGACTAACACAACTCCATAATTCACTTCCAATTAGGAATGAATAGTATAAGTCAAAATAGAGCAAAGAGTGGTCCTGTGCTGAAAGAAGACCCACGGTGCGCTGCAGAACAGGTCATATCATGGGTGACTTTGGGCAAGCCCTTTGTACAGTGCAGAAGACCTTGTCTTCCCCCTACTAACAGCATCAGGCCCGCTGAAACAATTTATATCTCAAATGTTAGCAACATCTGTGACAAGGAGATGCAGGAAATGAGTATTGTTCCTTGTTTGTACTACATCTGGCAAAACCAGAGCGTGATCTCAGTAGTGGTGTCCAGATAATAAAATGGAGGGAAAAACAAACTATGGAAAAGGTTAAGAATGAGGTTGCACAACACCAGCATGCCACGTGTGTGCACAGCTTCAGCTCATGCTACACAAGGACACTAGATGACTCTTAAATTCCATCTGCACCATCCAAGTCTGAAAACAGGAATTTAAGATCACCATAAGCACCATAACAAAGGCAACCACAGAACTGTAATAACAGGATCTGACATGGGCTATCCCAAGATAAATTTTCAGCAGTCCACTGGCCTGTCTAGATTTATTTCTGATACCATACTCATGAAGAAATATAAAAGCTAAACTCCACGGGCTGAAAATATTGAAATCTCCACCATTTCTAGTGGATAACTCCAAGAGCAATCCATATCCACAGAACCCTGGGAGATTATGGAAAATTTCGATGTCCTGGATTTTTTGTTTGGTTTGATTTTTTAAAGAAATTAAGGAAAGGAAAAAGAAAGTATTACCTATACAGCACAGCGACTAAATAAACAACGAGGCGAAGCAAAACTCCAACTACGACACCATAAGGAGGCAGGAGGGGTCCAGGGGTTGTCATGTCCGTGGGCCTGGCCCTGGGGGGACCCCGAGGGCTGACCATGACCCCTGAGGGGGATAAAGGAGCACTCTAGCTCTAAGTCAGACAGCAATATTCTCCAACCTTTGCCAGAAAGGATCGTAGTCTTCGTCTTCCCTGTAGCGGTCCCTGGGACTTCTGTTTTTTAAGACCCTGGAGTAGATAAACTGTGCTGCAAAATTCATTGTAACTCCTGGTGCAAAGCAAAGCTGGGAGACTGCTGGCAGAGAACACACTTGCCTGTCAGAAGTGTCAGCCCTGCACTGCCTGGGTGGGAAATAGCAGGCAATGTGCTGTAAGCAGCTCTCAGGGCTGGCTGGGGGGGAAGTGCCTTTGAAAGAGATGGCTGCTGCTATTTAAAGAGATTATTTTGGAGCCCAACCTGTCCTTGTCAATTTGAGTCAGGGCCTGGATTATGCTTGGCTGACACTCTGTTAGCAGGACACTTGAAGCTTTAGTTACTTACTGCTTAGCTGTGGAGCATGATCCCCACCAGCTGTAGGGCCCATGACTGAACAGCAGGGCTCTGGTAGGCAGAGCAGCAGGAAAGGGATGCCAGGTTTGGGGTGGTTGAGTCTCTGCAGGGATCCTTTAAGGCAGCACCAAGGGACATGGCTCCTCATGACTGAGGCACAGAGGAGACAACTCTGTTTGTGTGGGTCTTCTTTTGGCACAAGTCCCTGCAGCAGAAAAATACAGGTATCTAGATCATAAAGAACAGAAAACACCATCTAGGGGAAGGACTGTAGCAACAAGTTAGCTATATCTATATAGATATCTGTTATATCTATTAATATATATATATATATGTTTATATATCTATATAGAAATATACATGTGTGTATATATATCTATGTCTATATATATGTGTATATAAACTCCATCTAAATCTGTCTTTCTTTGCCCTGAGAGAGCACTAGCAAAGGCAGAGTCACAGTTCCAGATACAGAATGGCTGTGCAGAAGGGATGGAGCAGAGGTCCTTTTGTGGTACCTCTCCTCTCAAATATATTCCTGATGGAGTGCAGCCTCCAGACTGGGTGGAGATGAACCAGGTATCTATTTCCAGGTATGAGTGGGCCCTCAGTACCCTCTGCTTTCTACTGAGAGCATACAAAATCTTAATCTCCAAGACAGAGAACAGGCATGTCATGAAATCTAACCCAAGCTGTGACCTAACTGTCCCCACAGGATGAGAAATACTATAATCAGATTTATATGGGAGAGTCAGAATAAATGCTCAAATAGTCTTCTGGGATCTTTGGAAAGTCTGAGCTGTGCTGGTGGAGCCTTCCCTACACTGGTGTGGCAGACAGGCCCACGTTCTCTTGACTTCATCAGTACTGATGAAGCTGCAGATTCACCATTTTTTCCAGTTTCTCACACACAGACCTCTTTTATTCTTTCTTTTCCACGTGGTGGATGTGCAGGTTCTGGTGGTGCCATGTGCTGCAAGTGGCCACAGCCCAGCAGCACGCTGCTGCCAGGGGAGATGAAAAAATGCACTCAGCTGCTGCCAGCACTTGCAGCCCTGCAGCCAAGTTACATTCAGGACAACTTCACTGGTGCCTTGAAGCACAGGGGGAAGGCAAAGGGAGTTACTTTGTTCATAACACAGCTGAGCTGCACTGGTGGGCAGGAAATGGAATTTTATAGCAGTGAAAATGCTTTTCCTTTGCAATTCCTTTGGCTTTCCTTTCTTTTGCAATTTCTTCGGCTCTTGGGTATCTGGCTGTCCAGACCGATGCGCTCAATTCTTGACCTGAATTCAGTTCCTCACAAACAAGGCTCTGATCTGTGATTGACACCTGTGCTATGCTGCATGGGTAAAAAGGACTGCTGGGACCATTTGGTCAAGAAACTGGAAAAAAATTCACCAAGTTGTTGCATGACAGAAGTACGTGAAGCACTGAATTGCTATCCCTGTAAAACACTCGCAAACAAGCGGCCAGATATAGAAAAAGGATCTTTGGGAATTTCTGTTGCAGAACTCAGCCCATGCCAAACACTCTTTCAAAGCCCTTGCCACTTCCAAACCTGTTCACAGTGCTTTAAAACACACCACAATTACCACAGGAAGGAAAAACTATCTTTCAACTTTGATTTTTTTCTTTTATATGGGTGGAAGGAAGGGATAAGTAAGATACAATTGCAGTGCTGGTACAGTCAAATGATATCTAACACAATTGAAGCTGTCAAGGACACTAAGTTACAGGTCACCCCAGAAAACATTTCTTTTCAAATCTAGAGTTTTTTCCTTCCTTACTAGCTGCTCTTTGGTGGGTCCTAAGGGAAGGAAGCCAATGCCTCAGTGCTGTACAGCTTTCCAAAGGTTTCATTTACAACTTCCATGCTGCCACCACTTACACTTTGTGTGTTTGTGCAAGAAAATCATGGTTCATATCTGCCCAGCTTTAGGCTGAGACCTCAGTAAAACCAGACTTGGTCAGAGCCACTGTGTACATCTCAAATGGCAGTTATTGGGAAGGGGTTTTATCCACAGCATAATAAAATATTATCTTGTACTTAGATAATTTTGAGTTCAAAGAAAAAAATAAACCACACAGTTAAATCAACAGAGAGAACTGAAATACAGTGTTTGTGTGCTGGTGTGTAAGAAAAAGCAACGATTAGGACTAGAAAGGATTGGAAAATCCAAGTCTCAGAATAACAGTTTTACACTCACCGGGTCATATATAACTGCCAGCCTTCCTCCCTCAGTCCCTGGCACAAAACCCATTAAGAAAAGCATAATGTGGAGAGTAACAGCTGCTTCTTTTGCTAGAAAACCTTTTAAACAAGGTTATGCTGCACTTTCCTGAACTAAAAAAATAAAATAGAACCATTTGGCTGTCAGAATGGAAAACAATGCTTCTTTCTCTTGTAACCAGAGAGAACTCAGTTTGGACAGCACTGAGAAAAATAGCTATGGCCATTGTAAATAAGGACTTTATTGAATTACAGGACTTGAAAGCTTGTTTGGAAGGGTTAGCCAAGCTTTTCCCTACACTAAATAAAATTAATAACATTTCCAACCTCAGTGAGAACAGCATGGGTGGGAAGTGATAGTCTATCCAAAGCAGAGAATTCTTTACAGAATTTGATCACTTGCAGAAGGAAAGAGGGTGGAGACAGTCTGCAGTTAAGCCAAGAAAAACAATAAAAGTTTCTCAGAGAATAGCAACTCAGAAAACCAAAATGATAATTGGGGATTATGCAACATATTGATGCAAATGTGTGGTAAACTACTGTGATAATCAGTATGGATAAAAAAAATATAGACAACTCAAAGAACTGCCTATTAAAAAAAAACAGGAAAAAAAAAAAAAGAATAGGCACCAAAAAGATTCCCATTTCCTTCTAATTAAAGAAACTGATTTAACTCTCATAAATCAATATTCATAGAGCAGACCAAAGTTTCAGCCCCCCGTGTTTATATTTTTATTTGTTTATATTTGTCAGCAGCTGACCCACAACAGTAAAATATCACATTCCCATTTACTATCTTTAGGGATCTCAGAAAAAGCTGACAAGGTAGATTCAAATCAGTGGAAACAGAAGTAGGTTCCTCAAGCTGTATTTCACAGAGCCTGAAAGAAAGGGTAAGCATCAATTCAAAAAACATATTTGCTGGAGCAAGAGGCAACAGGGAAGCTTTATCTAAAGTTATGGAACAGACTGTATCTGTTAATGTGGGACAGACTGTATCTGTTTTATGTAAACATTTTGCAGAAAGAATGAGATATTTCTCAAGGCAAAGAGCAAAAGCTTACATTAGAGTCCAAAAATTATCTTCTCAAAATAGTATCTATATACATAAGAGATCTAATTCTAAGATGCTGAACCAATAGCATTCCATGAGGAAAAACTGGTGACACAAAGCTTGTGCCTCGCTGTAACAAAAAAAAAAATAAAAAAAAAAATTACATTCTCTTCTACTGAGACTAAATAACTGATAAGAACCAGCAAAATATTTTGTGCTGCTATTTGGGATATTTAACTGTAACATCCTGCTTATCTCAGTTTCAAGTGGTAGGAGAACATTTATAATACATGCAGAATGCAGAGGCAGCAGATCAGCATTACAGATGCATGAAAGTACCCAGTAGTCCATTCTAAGCCACCTCACAAAATCATATTAATGAACAAAGACTATATCCAATTATCTTTGAATAATATGACATCCCTTATGCTATCACTGGCTCCAGGGTTTTTGCCCATGTGGGTCTAAAGCACTGGTCATGCAGCTGTGTTCACACAGAGTGGAAGTGCCCTGGCTGAAACCCGCACAGGGAATCACTGAAAATACATTTGATTCTCTGTGCAGAGAACAGCAACTGCGATCATCTGCTTCACTTCTGCTTTTCCAGACACATTAGACCATCAGAGTGGCACCACATAATTTCAAAGTAGCACTGCAATAATTTTTTCTCACTAACAGAGATCAGCAGGCATTCAAATGGCAAGTGAACGTGAGCTGAAACACAATTAACGCTGTGGCTTTTTAACAAACTCAACTCCCAAGTGATTCTGATTTGCCACAGCCTGTACATAACCACTACACGATGCTTTCAGAGGCTTAAAATGCTTGGAGGATGTGTGCCCCAGCAGCAGAGAAGAACAGATGGCGTTGCTGCTGGAGGCGGACCGGAGCCTGCCGGTGCCGCACACGGGCACGGGCCGAGCTCTGCTTCCCCACCAGCCCCGCCGCGCTCAAGGTCAAGTACGAGCAGTGGGGGCTGTGACCTGTTCCGAGACACTCACGGATCCAAATCCTCTTCCCTGCCCTCCCGCTGTGCCTAATTAAAACACTGAACTGTCGGTTGCAGTTCACGCTGTGCCGGAGATCAGCCCACCTGGGCTCTGCCCAGCGCTGTTGCGGGAGGAGGAGAGAGAAGATGAGGAGCCAAAGATGGGGCGGGAGAGGAAGCGGCCCCCGGGGTAACCTGGTGGCCAGAAACTGGTCACCTCAGTGCCACCTGTGGGACAGCTCCCCAGCTGCCAGGGGCCATTGACACGTGTTTTGCAGCCCGCTCCCCACGGCCCTTCCCCTGCCCTTCCGCCGGGCTGTGCCCCCACCTCGCCTCGCCTCCGCCTGCTCCCACGCCCTCCTTCCAACAATCCCATCCCTTCCAACAATCCCCACCTCCGCCTGCTCCCACGCCCTCCTTCCAACAATCCCATCAAAGCTGTGCAATCAAGTCCCTCCCAGCGGCTCCAGCAGAA